CAGATAAATTAGATAGTTAAATATCTATAGTCTGAGTCTCATTCTTGTAAAATATTTGTAATTATTGGTTTTATAGATCAGAGAAACCCCTAGTGGATTCTCAATACATATTATTAAATAAAGATAAAGGCAAAACCTTATCTTAAACAAAAAAAAAACAAATTGATTAACTAAAACTTTCACAACATATGCCATACTTAACCCACACAATTATGTTACATTTTCAGACAACTCAACAAACAACCCAATACACATACTCAACAATTTTATAAAAGATGCTACTTGTAACAAAAAACAAATATGGATACTCTTTTAAGATATAAGTAAAGCATATGATTCTGTCAATCTACACCTTCTTATCAAAGCTCTACAAAGACTTAACATGCCTCTACAACTCACAAATATTATATAAAACCTTCTACACAACCGATATAATCAAGTAATTACCAACTTTGAACTCACAATATCATACTGTTATCCTATATCCACTTCTTTAAAGATAACAGGTAACTAGAGTGACTATAGCCAGTAAATACTTTGTATAATATTCTGAGTTACTGTATTTTAACTAAGTCAGTATGGCATTTTTACAAAACTTAACAAAGAAGATTTAAGGCAATTTGCAATTACAAAAGAAACAACAATTAAAAGTATATGAAGATACTAAAAACTGTTTAGGAGTTTGGTTCCAAAAGATATTTTATTATTGAAAGTGTATGAAGACACAATGATGAACTCAAGGTTCATATCTGATACTTTTATACTTTTCAATTTTTTAGAAATGTAACGGTCTATATCTAGTACCTATGCTACAAATATTACAAATAGTACTAATAAGATATATAATATATATAATACAAATACTATATATAAAACAAATAATATATATATAATATGTAAAATAAATAATATAGATGCTATAAAAATAATATATAATAGATATGCTACATGTAAAGCATTTTGCACAGTTGATCATTAGCCAATCAGGTTGCACCACATGTGATCTATATATAGAACATTTGATCAAATTATATTTTTGGTCTGATCTCAGCTTTCTGCGATTGGATTTGGATGATCTTACCATCTTTAGATTCGTCTCAATAAGCTGATTCGAATGGTAGTTGTTTTATCTTGATTGGACTGGTAGTTGCAAAAATATAAGCCAAAACGGCTTTTTTTTAATAGCTAACATTCTTTCAGATTTATTTTTGAGTTCTACAAAAATTCAATAAAGAAGGTAAGGTCTACAGCCAGAAGATTTTTTATATTGGTTAAAGTCAGAAATTTGGTTTGATATATTGCTTCTATTCTATGGAAAGAGAATAATTTATAAGTTCAGACAGACACTTTTTCATAATATTTTGTTAAGAGGTTTGCTAGAACTGTTTATTGTGCTGGAGTTTTAGATCTTGTTTCTAATAACTCTTCTAAGTAATACACATAAACGCAAAGTTCTGAATCGGTTGGCTTCATCATTTCTTTGTCTTGCTATATTCATTAATGCTTGATAAGTATCTCTAACTTTCTTCTAGTATTAGCAGATTGGTTATAAGGAAGAACTTCTACATTGATATTAGTTGGCTCTGTTTTATTTAATTCTTGTAAAACCATATATACAATAGTTGTCATTATAGCATAAAGTAAAAAAAAAAAGAAAAGATAAAAGATATTTACATACAATTTAACTTATCCAGCTTAAGAACACTATTTTTAAACTTATTCATAGTTTTTGTTATACTAGTTCACCTGGAAACATCCTTGATATAATTCGATCTGTTGCTTCTTTAGCTGTTTATACTAACTTTTATCAAAGAACCCTTTTACTTTAACAGATGAAGACTTTTGCCCTCCTTATCATACTGATTTTGAAGATTATAGTAACTCATTTAACAACCTCTTTTATGAACAACAACCTAATATTACAATAGCAGCCACTGCAAACAATATTCTTACTTATTTGAGAGACAACAAGAAAAGAAATATGCTTTTGAGAGTTGAACCCTTTAAAGAAGATGGTACTCAAGACTCTCTTATCTGATTAGATGATTTTAACAAAGCTACTCAAGCAAACAAGTGGAATTTGACTAGAAAGAAAGATATCCTTGCTGCTTTCTTAAGAGATAATGCTAAAAACTGGACTACTACAGTTTCTAACTATATTAATGGAGAAACAAATTGGGCCACAATTTAAACTGCCTTTAAACCTACTTTTTGTATCTAGCACTAGCAAAACAAATGGCTAAGAGACTTTGATATATTAAAACAAGAACCTAATGAATTTGTAGATACTTATTACAGCAGATTTAAACGATTGCTCAAAAGAGTGGATACTGGAACAACTCTACTTCAAAATGCCCAAAAGTTATATTATTTTAAAAAAGGATTAAGACAAGAAGTTCTTCCTATCTTACTTATCTCAACCCTAGTGATTTGAATGTCCTCTTTAAACATACTAAAACCTATGAACAAGAAATAGATTTTGCTACTAATGCTAATCCTGTTTCTATTAAAGAAACTTCTTCTAATAAATACAAAAAAGAAATCGAGCAACTAACTAAGCAAATAAGCCAAATATTTCTTAACTATGCTTCAATTGCTTCTGCCTTGACTGCTTAAGCAGTACCATCCTACATACCCAAGCTAAGACAAACAAATTATTCTCGTAATACACCCAAACCCAGATTTAATAATAACAATAATTTTAGACCCCATACTACCTGTTTTAGATATAGTGAAAAAGGATATTATGCTAGAGATTGTATGTCTGAATATCTTTCTACACAAGAACAACAATATCAAATGAATAGCCAACCCTCAACTAGAAGAAAAATTAACTATGTAGCTATAGAAAAAGACTACTCAACTAAAGAAGAAGAAGTTTATATTACCAGAGCACCCAGACCTTAACCATACAAAACAAACAGAAAAGTTCAAAAAGAAGCTTAGAAACAATCTGAATCTCAAAAAGAAATGAAGTTAAGGAATAGAATTATCTATACTGAACCTAATATCAAATCTGAAGAAATGAAAGTTGAATCTATTGAACTTCCTAGGCCAACACCAAAAGCAACCAAAGCAAAGAGAAGCCCAGTAAAGAAATTGCCTTCTATAATCGACCAACTTGAACCTTATGATATTGCAAAAGATTTGCTAAATTGACCTGCTCAAGCTACTTATAGACAACTATTACAATACCCTAACCAATATAAAAATCTTGCCCAAACAATGAAAAGAAAGACTGTTGTAACTACTGAAGCTAACCACTTGGAATTGAGTCTAACAAAGAAAACTGTTGCTATAAGGTGTCATGTAATATTGGAGAATAACCAGTAGTTGCTATTCTTGACTTCAGCACTGCTGTTAGCATTATTACCAAGAAGCTAATGCAAAGACTAGGATTACATATTACTAAAGAATCTAAAACTATTGTAGTAACTGCCAATGAAGCTAGAAAAAAAGCTCTAGGATCGATTAGTGATATTAATATTGTATTCTAAAATATTGCAATTCCTATCGACTTGCAAGTAATTAAGTCCAAAGATAAAACTTTCTTGTTAGAAATAGATTAGTTTACAAAATCCAGAGCCACTTTAGACTTTGATAACCATACTCTAAAGATTTTAAATACTTGGAAAAAAGAGCTACCATCTATACAACCCATGTTAGTAGAGAGCCAATACCTGATGAATTTGAAGAATTCACAGATGAAGACGAATGGATCGATAAAATCGAAGAACAAGATAAAGCTAAAACTTATCATACTAAAGAAGGATGTTGTTACTGACAACAATCCTGCAGTATATGTTGTTTTAACTGCTGAAGTTTCTACAACTCCTTTTTTAACTATTAATACTTTTTTGAATAGACAACAAAGAGAAGAAGCTAAAGAAATTCTTCTAAACAACCACCAAATCTTTACTAAAAATATTTCTGAAGAAGGACAAACCTTTGAACTGGGACAAACCAAAGAAGTTTGCCATAAAATTAATACTTTTGGTGCTAAACCAATTAAACAACGAGCATATAGAGCATCACTAGATAATTTAGAATTCTTAGAAAAAGAAATTAAAGAAATTGAAAAATGTGGAATTATTCAAGAATCAACAGTCTATGGTCCTCACCAGTATTTATTGTACCCAAAAAGAATAGAAAATATTAAATTTGCATTGACTACCAAAAGTTAAATATAGTAACAACAAAAGATGTATATCCTCTTCCTGATATTAATAAAATTCTATCTATCTTTGAAGGAGCTCAATGGTTTTAAGCTTGGATTTGGCCAGTGGATATTGGCAAGTTGCAGTACAAGAAAAATATAAAAAGAAAACAGCATTTATTACTAGCATGAAATATATGAGTTTAATGTTATGCCTTTTGGTTTGTGTAATGTACCAGCTATCTTTCAACGTCTAATAGATAAAATTCTACGTCTCTTTATTAATAAGTTCTTAGTTGTATATTTAGATGATATTACCATTTACTCAAAAACATTCAAAGAACATCGTTTTCACTTACAACTAGTTTTTGATAAGCTTGCAGAAGCTAACCTCAAATTAAATATTGAAAAATGTTCTTTCTTTTTAAATGAACTTAAATTTCTAGGACATATTATAGGAAAAGATGGAGTAAAACCTGATGAAGAAAAGATTGAAAAAGTTAAAAACTTTCCAACACCTACTACCATTCATCAAATTAGAGGTTTTCTTGAACTAGCCTTATACTATAGAAAATTTATAAAAGAATTTTCTATAATTGCCAAACTTTTGAATATTCTGCTGCAAAAGGACCAACCATACCATTGGGGAGAAAAACAAGAAGAAGCCTTTCAAACCTTAAAAGAATGTCTTATTACTGCACTGATCTTACAATATCCTAACTTTAATAAACTATTCTATATTTATACTGATGCTTCACAAACTGGTCTTGGAGCTGTATTAGCCCAACTTAATAAAATAAAAGAGAGTATGTAATTGTATATACTAGTAGAAGTCTCTCAAGAGCAGAACAAAACTACTCTGCTATGGAATTAGAATACCTTGCTGTTGTATAGACAGTTAAACATTTCTATCAATACATAAAAAGAAACCACTTCTATCTAATAACTGATTATGCTGCATTAAAATAGTTAAGAACCACCAAACTAGTAGAAAAAAGAGCAAGATGGATTATGCGACTAGAACCTTATAACTTTACTATAATCCATAGAGCAGGAAGAAAGCATAATAATGCTGATTCTTTATCCATGATATATGAAAAGGACCACCTTTTAGATGAAGAAACAAAAGTTAATTTGATTGATTTACCAACCGAGTAAGAAGCTCTAGAAGCTGCCTTAGCAGAAGACCCTATTATTCTTGATGATAAAGTAGAAATCTTTTATCTAGGATATGAAGAAGACTCCAGTATTAAAGAAAGTTATTATGATACTTATGAAACTTTCTCTTAAGAAGCTAACTCCTACTTGAAAAACCTATGGAGTGATATTATATCTAACTCTGAAGTAATAAATATCGCTATTGAGTCTGAACCTCAAAAAGGAGCCTGAACTGAAAAAGATCTAGAAATTGTAAGAAAAACCTTGAAAGATAACCTCTCTCCTAATATAACTAGTAGACTCCTATTATACAAACATGTAGTATTCTCTCATGAAGGTATCCAATATGATAGACAATTTTGTACCTGGTATTATATTGAATATATAGGAAAACAAGTTAATACCAAAAACATGAAAGGTCTTGCTAAAGATTAGAAAAGCCCATGTGCTCAATGTTGGTGTGGACTTAAACTCTATAATTCGGAAGATGAATATATCCAATGCTATCTTGAATTGAAATTGTGAAATACAATTAAACAATATTCTATTAAAGTTATTGGCTTAGATTATTGGAGTACAACTGATAATAAATGGGATGACCAACCTATTCAATTTCAAGAAACTAGTGATAATACCTATCAAGAAACACAAGAAAATTCTACCCTCAATTTGATCAATTTTCTGAAACTTATATTCAAGTAAATAATTATGTTATTCAAAACAACTATTACGTCTTAAACAATATCCCATGGTAGCTTTTCCCATTAGAAATGCCTACTCAATGACAACTACAAGAGCATAACAACCTTTTACCTACTTATCTTTGTAATTCTGTGTGGTGGACAACACTTGAATCCAATATCTAATATCAAAAATATATCAAACTAGTAAAAACTTAACAATAATAACAATCTAGTTTAGGTCATCAGTATTCTAGCAAAAATATAACAAAAATAGAACCTGAATATTATCAAAATATTAAAACTTATCTTGAGACTGCTAAATACCCTTCTAATTTCACAAAAAACACAAAAAGAACAATTAAAAAGAAAAGTTAATATTACTTTATCAAAAATAATCAACTTTACAAGAGATTTATAGAAAAAAGCATTGCTACTACATTGCTAAAAGTTATACAAAAGCATGAAATCAAAGCTATCCTATACCTTATATACAACTATCCTATAGAAGCATATCTTAGAACTAACAAAATGTTTGACAAGATCAAAAGACAATACTATTGGCCTCAAATATATGAACATATTTGAGACTACGCGAAATCCTGTGATAGTTGCTAAAAAAGAGAAAAATATCGACAAAAAGAACCTCTCTATCTGATTAAAGTAGAGACACCTTTTGACAAAATTGGTATTGATTTTGTAGAACCACTTCCTCTTACCTCTCGAAGCAATAAATATATAATTGTTGCTATGGATTATATGACCAAATATCTGAAGCAAAAGCTGTACCTGAAGCAACTGCATAACAAACTGCTGACTTCTTATACGAAGATATCATTTGGATAAATTAATATCTTCTGTTCTGTTCTCTTACAAAAGCTCAAAACATGCAACAACAAAATTTACACCCTTCTTTCTTGTATATAGAATAGAACCAAAATTACCTATTTCCGAATCTCAAGAAATATTAGAAGAAACTCTCTTGACAAGATTATATACTCTTGTAGAAGATCTGCCCTCTAAAGAAAGGAAGCCAAAAACAATATCGATAGATCACAACAATGACAAAAGTTCTACTAGAACAAAAAGATAAAGAAAGTAAGAAAATTGTTCAAAAATAAAGAAAAAGTATTGTGCTATGATGCTGCTAGAGATAAGAGTTTCACAAAAAAATTCTTATCAAAATGGTGAGAACCTTACTTTATCCATCAAAGAATAGCACCAGATATATACAAACTTCATACCATGGAAGAACAGATATTAGAAACACCAATCAATACCTATCTTTTAAAAAAATATTACATACGACAATCATGGAATCCTATAATTAATATCTAAATATTATTTATTTTATTTTATTAATTTTATCATTACAATTATTGGACTTTTATTAACTTTTAATAGCAAAAGATATAAAATTTATTTAAAACAAAAAAAAATAATAAAAAAAAAATATACAAAAAAAAGAAGAAAAACAAAAAAATATTTACAAAAAAAAATTATTATTCTACATCTAGCACTGGAATGTTCTGAATCAACTACTTCAAATTTTCTATCTCTGCTCTTAACCTACTTTGTACTTGTATCAAAACCTAATACTGTGCATTATTCTACTAATTTTTCTACTCAATTTCCCCGATATACATCTCCTGATCCTTTACTGCTTCTTCTAAATTCTCTACCTGATTTTCTAAACTCTCTACTTCTCCTCTTAATGCCACAACTTGTCTTCTTAATAACGCAACTTCTTGTGCTAATCTAAATTATTATTATTAAATTTTTATCA